CCTGGAGGCTACTCCATAGCAAAGCATAGAGAGCTCCCTTATTCTTTTCGTTTTTTCTTACCATGCAGTAGTATTTCCATCAGGTGTGTGCACTTCGGCTTGGTTAAACCAGCAGCCTCTAACAGCTGCACGTCCCCCATCTCCTCCCATCCCTTCTTCATCTCCCTTTCCTCCCCACCCTTCCACACCGTCCTCATCTCTTTCTGTCCCTTTCTCAGCGCTTTGTATCTCTTTCCTCCATCTACTCTGCCTTGACCCTGCTTTAATTTTTGTTCATAGTAGTTATCAGCACCTGCCAGTAAATTGCAGATCTCTGTTTACTTATTTCTTGTTTTTGTCCCCTTGCTAGGTTGCAAGCCCTATGAGGCTGGCAGGGGTGTCATCTGTTTTATTGTGGCTGTATCCATAGTATTCGTGTATTAACAGTAGATGCTCTGCAAGCGTTTGTTGAATGAGCTCATGCATACTGTCATCACATGTGCCCACCTGGCACCTGAGGACAGGGACAAAGCAGGACTGGAGTGGAGGCGTCAGGTGCCGCCTGGAGCCCCAGCACCCCAGGAGGCCCTGGGTCCCCAGAGAGCAGGAGCTCCTTTGCTGCCACCTTCCCAAACACTTAGCGTTAAAAGGCACAGCGGAACCGTTTCGTTTGCCTTTACCCTGTGCTGTGTTCTGAGTACTTTACCAAAATGTTGTGTTAATTCATTTCATCTTCACAACGACCCTATGAGGGAGGTGCCATGATAGGCTCCCTTTCAGAAGGAGGAAACTGAGGCACAGAGGGGTGAAATCCTATGCCCAAGCCTTAACTAAGGACTTGCAGAGGTGGCATTGGAAGCCCGGCCCTCCTGGCCCAGGGCCTGCACCCTGCCCCAGCCTGCGCTGTGGAGGGGGACAGCAGTACCGGGCAGAGGAGAGGCAGTCGGAAGTCTCTCCTCTCACTCCCCGTGCCTTCCTACCTCCTCCTGCCCCCTCCCACCAGGCACTGCAACATGGTGCTGGAGAATGTGAAGGAGATGTGGACTGAGGTCCCCAAGAGCGGCAAGGGGAAGAAGAAATCCAAGCCGGTCAACAAGGACCGCTACATCTCCAAGATGTTCCTGCGCGGGGACTCGGTCATCGTGGTCCTGCGGAACCCGCTTATCGCTGGCAAGTAGGGCCGCCTTCCTGCCGACAACTTGGTCCCCTGTCCTGTGAACAACTGCTCTTTGTGATGGCAATAATAAAGCAGTGTTTTTTTCTAGTGACATCTGTCTGTTCCCAGGGCCTCGTGAGTGGGGCGGACTCAGGAAGGAGGGAAGGCAGCGGGGTGTAGGGCTGGGACCTACACCAGGTCCCTACAACGCTGGGACCAGGACCCCCGAGCAGGCGAAGAGGCCCCAGCTCTGCCCCATCCAGACCTCCCTTTCCCCATCTGCGAAGTGAATAGGTTGGGCTGAAATGATCTCTCATTTGTGATGCTGGAGGAAGTTTCGGCTTTCTTCTATTTTAATTATTTTTTCCATCAGCACACATCCGCCAAGTGCCTCCTCTGCGCCCAGCCCTGTGTCGCAATGCTGGGGACACAGGCACGCCCAAGAGGGCCCCTGACCTGCGCCCATGGACAGGAGTAGATGAGCGTTTAAAGCAGTCAGTCCCCAAATACTGCTAGTGATGGTGGCTAACGCCTGAGCCGGTCGGGTGCCAGACTCAACACTTTGCAGACATCCTCCTGACAACTCTGAGGCAGGCCTGTTAATTACCTCCATTTTCCAGAAGAAGAAACTGAGGCACACAGAGGTAATGTCACTTGCCAGGGGCACCCAGCCGGGAAGTGGTGATGCCGTGATTCAAACCCACCCCCTCCTGAGCCTGTGGCTGAACCCCTGAGTTCCGCTGCCCCTCAAATTCAGCTTAATGACCCTTGAGAGGAATTCTCTGACAAACGCGGGGAGATTGAGGTGGCAAAGGGAGGCCTTGGGTATGGTGGGTGGATTAAGTGTCCCTGTCGTGCTCTGACACGCACACTGACCTTTCCCCCCTCGTCTCTCTGTCGCTGCCTGTATCTCTGTCCTCTGGATGTAGCCAAACACCAGGCACATGTAGGTTGCACGCCCGTGAACTTAATGAGATGTTCGGACACTCTGAGCTGTGAAAGGCACAGCCTGAGTGAGCCTGTGAGCCTGTTAGTGGCGGAGCTGGGACCCTGCAGCGGGGAGAAGGCCTGACACACACAGGGCGACCGCTGTGAGGTTATAAATACATGCGTTTACCACGTCTGCTTGGAATAACCACCTGTGGGGCAGATAATAGAGCTATCCCATTTTATAGATGAGACATTTGAGGCCCAGAGAGGCTAAGCGATTTGCCCAGGGTCACACAGGAACAGTGGAGCTGTGTCCAAACCCAGGGAGCCAGGTCCTCGCGAGCAGTCTTTATTGTCGGGGAGCAGGGCGGAGCTACAATAGCCTCATCTGTAAAGTCGGGGCAGTGGTGCTGCCACAGGAGGTCACCCCTGGGATTTGGTTCTTTGGCAGGAGTGGAAACAGCCCAAGCCCTGGAGTTACAGTCCTGGGTTCGAATCCTGCCCTGTCTCCCGCTGGTTGTTGACTGGGAAGTGGAAATTGGTTTCCCTGCCTTGCAGGTTGGCATCGAAGATTCGAGTCCCAGCATGGTCTGATTTCCTTTGTCATCTCTTCACCCACCCCACTGCCCCAGATGGTTTTTATTTGCAGAGGAGTTGGGAATGTTCCCCAATTCACACAGCTAGTAAGTAGCCAAACTGAGCTCAAGTTAGTTGAACTAAGTCGAACTTAGTTCAAACTAAGATAAGAACCGGGCTGGTTCCTACTTTACTATTCCTATAGTACCTTTCTAGAAAAGCAGCCCTCAAAGAGTTCGCCGGGTGTGCATACCTGCACACACAGGCTTGTAATTTTACGTGTAACATTGCCAATTGGGAATTCTTAGACAGGGCAGACAGTGGCAGCATGGTGTCCCTGTGTTCTTGTGGCAACACACGGCTGAAGTTGAGCAAGGCCCCCATAAGCCCCCACCCAGTCATTTCCCATTATGGCCTGGCCAAGAAGATTCTCCCACTCCAGAAAGGAAAAAAGCAAGTGTTTCTCATGCTTTATTTACAAGGGCCCTGCCCTAAGGCCTCCAACCCACCAGAACCCACAAGGTGGTGGGAGGGAGGAGGGCCACAAGCTTGAAAAGGCTGAGTTCAGCTACGGGCACATCTGCCCAGGGAAAATACTTGACAACACCCAGGGACTAACTGAGTCTGTGTGTGTTTATGTGGGGGAAGGATTTAGGAGTGAGGGTCTTGCGTGTGTACAGGGGGTCCGGCCACGATGAGGCTATCAGCTTCCCCCGTAATTCTCCCAGTTCCCAGGGACTACCCATCTTAGGAGACCCGCGTCCTCACTCCGCGGTTAGCAGTGGCCCTGGCTACTCCGGATAGAAGGTTCCAGCTCCAAGGCTGCCTTGAGACGCCTGTGCATCCCTGTCTCTGGATCCCAGTGCCTCTCGCGTTTCTAGCTCCAGCGCTCACCTCTCGCGAGAACTGCAGACCCTCGTCCTTGGGTATCCTACAGGCATTGGCAGCTTAACTGTCCAAAGAGCAATCTTGGTTCTCCCCACCCTGAGCCCAATTTCCCCATCTTTCTGCACCATTCCAAACCGAGGAGGCTTCCTTGACTTCTCTCTTGGCGGCACGTCCCTCGTGCGATCCATCTCAAAATCCTCTCGGCTCTACCTTTAAAGTAGCTCAAGAATCCAAGCGCTTCACACCCCTCGTGGCTTCCATCCTGGTCCAGCCACTGTCACTTCCTGCCTGCAGCCCCCTCCTCACTGGGCTTCCGGCCTCCACTCCTGCCGCTGGTAATCTGTTCTCCTACAGCAGCGATCCCCAACCTTTTTGGCACTGGGGACAGGTTTCATGAAAGACAATTTTTCCATGGACTGAGGGGTGGGGTTGGAGGGGATGGCGAATGATGGGGAGTGGCTAGAAATACAGATGAAGCTTCCCTCACTCAGCTGGCCACTCACCTGCTGGGGGGGTAGCTGGGAGCAGGGGTTGGGGACCACAGCTTTACGGGACAGCAGGTGCATCTGTTTAAAACATTAGCCTGAGACGCTCCTGCTAAGAATCTTCAGTGCATCTGGAATTAAATCCCAACTCTTGTGCCTCTGCCTACTTCTCTCTCTCTCTCTATTGGCTTTGACTTATTCCAGTCCAGCCAAGGCCAAGCTCCTTCCTGCCCCAGGGCCTTTGCATATGCTATTTCTTCTGCCTAGAATCTTATCCTCCAATTCTTACCAAAGTTGTCTCCTTCACCTCTTTCAGGCATGGTTTAAATGTCACCTCCTCAGAGATGGCCTCCAAGACCACCCTAGCCCCTCTTCCAATTTCCCTTCATAAGCTGTTCTACAGCGTATGTGTAACTTGATGTTTGTGTTCATCTGTTTCCCCCACTCCATTGTGATCTCCAGGCGGACAGGAACCTTGTTTTCCTGTTTCCTTCTCCCCCGTTTCCCCAGCGTCCCCCACACTGGGCCTGGCACACAGTAGGCACTCACTAAATACATGCTAACTGAACGGACACAGGAATCCCGCTTTCTAGCAGTAATTTTCCAACACCCGGCTGGCCTCATCCCCACGCCCTGGGAGGATCCCTGAGGACAAGGCGCGGCCAGTGGGGACCTCGCCTGGGCCGGAGCCCGAGGGAAGGGCCCGGGAGGCACGCTTTGGGAGCTGGCGCTGCTTCTCGCCAAGGCTGTGGCGCAGGCGGCAGTGGTGCCAGGCACGGCGGATCTCCGACTGCACCTGCAACAGGATGGCGCTCAGAGGCGGCGCCGTTCCCCGCGCGGCCGCCAGAGGGCGCGGGCGGCGGGCCAGAGCTCTTCCTACCTCCTTGTTGATGAAGCAGTAGAGGACGCTGACCAGGAAGCCCTGCCAGAGGAGGCGCGGGGGTTAAATCGGGGTGGGGGCAGGACTGTAACCACACCCTTAATGAGCTCGAACCCTTGCCAGGCCCCCAAACACCTAAGCTGCCGCCACCTTGGTCCTAGACTATTGCGATCACTTTCTCACTGCCAGGGGTTGGGGGGAAGGTTTAAGAAAACCGAGCCCTGGAGGAAGGATCTCTTCCCCACTTTCCCACTTGGGCAAGCTGCTTAACCCCTCTGTGCCTCAGTTTCTTCATCTCGAAAATGGAGCAGTAATACAGTGGTGATTGTGCCTGACACATAGAACCTTTTTCTTCATCTTGTTTTATCATATACCATTAATGATGGACAATTAGTTTTATATCTGCATAAATTTATATATATTCTACATCTAAATTTAAATAAATACAAAATGTATTTCTATTTTAGAATTAATTAATTAATAGAAATCAATTATGTATAGGTACTATGATTAAGACACTAATCTTAGTATTACTTTCCATGACGCTGGTAAAATCTAACTCAGATCACATCCCTCTGCCCAGAACCTTCCCTTAGCTCCTGCTTGGAACAGAGAAAAAGCTGAAGTCCTCACCTGGTCCGGGAGGCCCCTCAGCCCTCTGTCCTCGGCCCCCATACCCCATGCCTTACCGGACCCTCTGCTTCAGGCACGCTGGCCTTCATCACAGGCTACGCTTCTGCCTCAGGGATCTTGCACGTGGTGTTTCTCTTCCTGGGACATTTTCCCCAAACTTGTGCCTGGCCTATCCCCTCACCTTCCTCAGGTCTCTGCTCCAGTGTGTCCTTCTCGGGGTGGCCTTCCCTGACCCTCTGTCTGAAACAGCGACCCCACCCTTCCTTGGACACCTCATCTCTCTTTTCTCGCTTTCTCCCCCCTCTACGCACATCTCGCCACCTGATGCTCTGCGTGTTTCACTTATGCAGTGGGTTGTCTGTCTCTCCCGCTAGCGTGTAGGGGCCATTTGGCTCGTGGCCGTATCCCCACGATAAGCCCGGAAGAGTGCTTACTACGTGTATGTGCTCAGCAATTTTTTTGCTGAATTTAATGAATAAACAGGCTTGTAAGGTGAGACTGGTATTGTCCCCACTTTAGAGATGAGGAAACTGAGGCCCAGCAAGGTGAAGCAGCGTGGGGACCAGGGTAAGCAAGCAAGTGCAAGGTTGGCCTCAAATTTGGGAATGAGCACCTCCTTAAATTCTGCGCCTTAGGGACCCCATTTGCCTCTGCCTGGCTCCAAGCCTGAGGTGAAAGCCACACCGCTGGCAAGTGACAGAATCTGAATTTGGCCCCAGCTGTGTGCAGCCTCAAAACCTCACTGTTCAGCAGGAGGCAGTACTCCCGGGCTAACGGTCTCCCTCCTGCTCCCTGCTGCTTGCCCAGCCCAGGACAGCCCTCGCTCAGTATTGTGTGTGGCGTGAACAAAACCCCATCTTCACGCCCCATTCAGTGGCTGTGCCCGAGGATGACTGTAGCCCTCGTGACCGGGGGTGGGAAGGAGGGCCCCGTGGGGAAGGGTGTAGCCCCTGCACCCTGCCTGAGCACCTGGAAGGAACTTAGGAAGATCTCAAAGCCGATCTTGGCAAAGCGCAGGGCGCCCCGAGCCTGTTCCTCTGTCAACGGAGCAAACACCACCTCGTGGACACCCAGCAGGGGCACCAGCGTCAGCGTTGAGCGAGCCAACCTAGGGGGAGAGGGCAGCAGTGCCCTGTGGCCCCGGGTCCCCCAACTCGCACCTGGCCCTTTCCCCTCCGTCCCCACCGCCGGCCCCCACCTCAGCCGGTAGTCCGGGCAGCGCATCTGTTGTGTCCTCAGCTTCGACAGAAGGATGCCAAGAATGCGGATAAAGATGAAGAAATTAATCTGCGGGGAGAGACAGAAGTTGAACCAGCAGCTCCCATTCTGGTGGGGGAGGGCAGGAGATGGTACCCTACTTCCCAGAATGGACAATCCCTGAGGACAGCCTGGAGGAGGCAGGGCGGACCCTACCAAGATGGTCATGAGAATGGGGGTGCGTATGATCCACCAAATGGCCTTGACTTCGTTTCGCTCCCAGCACCTGTGGGGGGCGGGATAGGGCTAAGAGACAGAAAACCTCTAGACTCACTGGATCATACACGTTAACTCGCCAGGCTCCGCCCACTTTCCTTAAGACCACACCCACATTCCTTAAGGCCCCGCCCATCCGTTACTAGCACGTCCCCACCCCATCCCCCCTTGCCAGTAGTCCTCCAAGACCTCTTCAAGCTCCCCATTCCTTTAGACCCCGCCCACATTCCCCCCAATCCCTGAGTTGCCATCAGACCCTGCCCACGTTTCCATCGCAACCCGCCCAAGTCCCTCAAAGCTCCGCCCACCTCCCAGGCCCCGCCCCAGACCCTGCAACTCACTGCGTGTTCTCGTGCAGGTACCTGACGATCACCCAGGGGATGACGAAAAGCGTGGGGGCCCCTGTGCAGACCCCGACCCCCGCCCCCCCACCCCGCCGCAGCTGTCAGCGCGCGCACGGGCCCCGCCAGGCCCAAGACCCGCGGATTCCTGTGTCAGGGAGGGGAGGCAGAAGCCCAGAGGGTGGAGGAGACCCCCTGAGGTAGAGCGGCAGCCGGGCAGCTGGGGGAGCCGAGGCGCGCTGGGCTGGGCGGGGGACGGGGTCGGGGCTCACCCCAGCCAAGGAGCAGGTAGCAGCGTAAGTAGCCCTCCTCGGAGCTTCCCACGAGCACCAGGAGGCTGTGCAGGTAGACACCCTCCACCAGCAGCCACGTGTAGTTGGCACCCACGCAGTACTGGGTCACGACCTGGGCTGTGCGGCAGGCGGCTAGCGCCTAGGGAGGGCCAGACAGGAGGAGGGGGCAGTCGGGGCTGCTGGGGTGTCCCCAAGCCTTCCCCTACCTGACACCGCTTCGTCCCTATCTCTTGCCCTCGAATGTTCTCCCACATCTGTTCTCCAGGGCATGGGATCAGTGGTTGCTTCCTTTCACCCTATTCTCTTCCCCTATATGGACTCTCCCACCCTGACCCCCTCAACAATTTGTGTCTTCTATCATGCCACCAGAGTAGAGTTTCCCCTAGACCCCCAAAATACGGCCTCTGCCACCCCAGCTCCTTCTAAGAACTGAACTCTCCTGCCAGCCTATGGACTGTCCCACCCCGTGACTTCTCAACAACTGGTACGGCCCGACTTGCCGCCAGATAGCTCCTCCCACCTCTGCTGCCAGCTGCTGGTCTCTCGCGCCCTGTCTCCCAGTACCAAACTGCCACCTACCACATTCCACCCGCACCAGTTAGTTTCTCCCATCCCGTCACCGCCTCACCTCCAGCAGGTGGATGCTCTCATTGGTGGAAAAGACCAATGATGGATGAGCCAAAAAGGGAAGAGGGGATGGAAAATTCCAGTAAAGGAGGAATGGGCTGGGAGAGTTCAATGATGGGGGAGGCTGAGTTGGGAAGGTCCCCCTCCAAATGCGTCTGGAGGGGTCAAGAGAGATAAACTGTTGATAGTGTAGGAGGTAGGAAGCGGATCGGAAACTTCCTGGTCCCACCAGAGGAGGCAGATTCCCCTGTGGAAGGGGAGCAGGATGCGCACCTGGTTCCACGGGGTAGGGGCCTGGTCCCCAGGGTAGGGGCCAGGTGGAGGTAGCAGACGGTCTCGGGTGAGGATGGCTGCCGCCCGCAGCATGAAAGACGTGAACAGGTTGATGTGGATGTAGTTCCGAGTGCAGCGCAGCCGCCTGGGAGATTTGGGGGGCAGTCTGGGGACCTCCGGAGAGCCGTCCTCAGCCACACAGAGCCCCTTTAGCTCTCTCCAGCCCTTCCCAGAGAAGCGCCAGTGGATGCTTGGAGTAGGTGACCACCCCATCTTATTGGACAAGTAACTGAGGCCCATGTCTCTGCTGCCACCACTCACAACTGGGGATCCCACCTGAAGAAACTCAAGATGAGCAGGGCTAGCAGCAGCGTGGCAAGGGACAGGGAGTAGCCGACGGTATACACGACCTGTAGCCGCTCCAAGATCAGCTTTTGGTCCTGGTGGGGGCGAGGAGGGCACAGGAACAAGGCTCGGCTCTTCCCCCAGACCCAGAGAGAGGCTGGAGGGTCACCTGCTCCTTGTTTCTGCCCAGCACCCTAATTTTCCTCTTGGGAACCACCCACCCTTGTTTGAGTGGGGCTGACTCCACCCTCCAGCTCCAGGGCTAGGCATATGACCAGCCAACCAGACCATTCTACCTAACACCCCCCCACACTCATCAGTCCTGGGACATTATGGGAGAGTTATCGAGAACAAAGGTCAGTCTCCCCACAGTGATGCTTGGTTGGTAGGATGTGAGCGTGATGCTAATGGGGACCACCTTTTCTTTTTTTTTTTTTTTTTGAGACAGAGTCTCACTGTATTGCCCGGGCTAGAGTGAGTGCCGTGGCGTCAGCCTAGCTCACAGCAACCTCAAACTCCTGGGCTCAAGCGATCCTCCTGCCT